ATTTAAGATTTTCTTTACTTTTGCTCAATATTTACGAAAACTGGCTATTTTGCAATGTATTCATATAAAAGTACATACAAAGGTGTATGTATGTGTGTATGAGTGTATATACGCTGTATCTTTGCATGCAACTAAATTTTTTCTGTTACTTTTATCATTTTTATCTTTACTTTCTTCCTTTGCTCTCATTACAATTGGCCTTTTAGAAAAGGTAGAACACATGTTGGTGTAAGACACATTTGTTGTTTGTATACAAGCTTTCATTGTATGTATGTACATTTGTATTGCAATCGATTGGTATACAATTTTCTTTCGCAGCACCTGTCATCAAACGCATTTGAGGTGCCTGCCTACCTGCATTTTACATACAGAAATACAAATGCATGTATGTATGGGTGCATTTGTGTGTATTTGGCAATAGCAGATCGCACTCGCCCGTACCACCTTTTCTACTCGTATGCGTGCAGCTTATCATTCGTCTTATTGGGTAACAAATGAGTTCATCGAAATCGAATACTTACTTAGTGACGTTTGCATTTGCTTGCATCGCCCTTTCTTCTGTAATATGAGATTTTGCCAGACAGTTGAAAGTAGTAATGAATTTTTATATTGAATGAATTTGCAATTTCCCTGTTTTTCTTTTAACTTTTGTATTGGCTTTGCACGGAATGAGTAGGAATGGGTACGACTAAAGTGTTTACGAAAATTTTTGCAAGCGCATCCTGTCTGCGATCATTTGCGAAATTCGAAGAAAATATTTCCAGAACTGATTTTTCGAAAGATATTGTATATGTACATATTATCCAGGAGTGATTTATTTAGTGTATTTAGTGGCTGATTCACTAGAAAGAGCGATTAACTTAGCTATTTGGAAATAATTAACTGAGATTTGTTATTACAAATAAATTCAAATATATGGGAGAATAAAAAATGAAATAAAATTAAATAATGTAAGATAAAATTAAAAAAATTAAGAAAAAAAAATTAATTAAATAAGATTAAATAAAATACAATAAACTAAAATAATATACAATAAAATACAGTAAAATAAAACAAAGAAAAAAAATAAAATTAAATTAAACAATATTAAATAAAATAAAATAAAATAAAATAAAATAGGAAAAAAGATAAAAAAGAAATAAAAAATATTGAAAAAAGAAAAGAAAATAAAGAAAAGCAACGAAACGAAAAGAAAAGATAATATAAGAAAAGGAAAGGTGAGGAATATAAGAAAAGAAAAGACAAAAAATAATTAACATAAAATAATATTAAATAAAGTAAAATAAAATAAAGTAAAATTAAATTAAATAAAATAACATAAAATTAAAAAAAATTAATTTAAATTAAATTATTATTTACAAAAAAAAAATTAATTAAATGAAATAATATTACATGAAATAAATAAAACAAAATAAAATAATAGGAAATTAAATAAAATTAAATTAAATAAAATAAAGTAAAATAAATAAATTAATATAGCAAAAAATAAAATAAAATAACATAATGAAGTAAATAAAATAAAATAAATATATATATATATATTAATATAATATATAAATAAATAAATTGCATAAAAAACAAATAAAATAGAATAAAATTATATGAAATAAAGTGAAATAAAATAAAATAAAAAATATGTATAAAACCAAAAGTAAATAGAATTAAATAAATAAAAGATTACACATTTCTTTGCTCTCATTTTCTCGATCAACTTTGAGAGTATTTCTCCTCTGCAGAAAAATATCTAAATTAAATTATCTGAGAAGTCGTATAACTAAACTCCCACTGAGCACTATAATGTTGAGCTTCTCGGAGAATTAGATTGAGTGAGATAGAAAGGAGCGTAAGTTTGAAACTGAAAATTTTTTCCACTCAAAGAGTATCTAGAAAAGTTTTTAGCTTCCTTAGCTCCGCACAAAACAAAATGTAGTTTAGAGAACAGTACAAGCTCAGCAGAGCAGAAGATATGGTATTTTGTTGAATGAATTTGTAATAACTGCTAATTAAAGAAATTTTTTTTTCGTAATTGCGGAACTGTCTTATACTTAATAGTTATTATAAGTTAATTTCTCTAAAAGAACTTTTAGTTTTTGCTTTCAAAAAGATAAAGAATAATGGATTTATGAAAATATTCCCAAATCTCTACAAATATTTAATCAAAAAGATAACATAAATTTATTTGCAAAAAAAAAATAATACCAATTAATTTTCCTTTAACGCTAATAAAATTGTTTAATCATATTTCGACCAAATTTTTGGTAATGCATTATTTTACGAATTTATTGCACTACCCACCCATTAATCAATTTTATGCTGATTTGAAAGTTTTATAGTATACTGAAAGCCAAAATTTAATTTATGCTGCAATTAAAAAATATTTTCGAAATTACCGTGGGCGCTAGAAAAATATTTCTACGCTAGAAACGCAATATACAAACTCGTGTTATTTGTACATATGTACATTTATATTTGAATATGTATGTTTTGTAGTGATATTTCCTTCCGCAATATAAAGCACATTATCAATCAATCAAATTCACTCGCTCCCTCTAAACTTCTAAATAAACAAAAGTTTATTAACTAAACTTTAATTTGGCCAGAATTCGATATCATAATAATTAGAGCTATTTTTCAGAATCGCTCTATTTTGGAGCCATAAAAAGTTGGTTTGTTTATATAAAAAAATTCTCACCAACTCAAAAAACTTACAAAAAAAAAAAACAAGAAAAAAACCAAAACAAATAAAAAGGTAATCATAAACAAATAAAATTAGATGAGAAGCTCCAGAGGGCGGAGGGAGAGTAGTCCTGCCTCAAATTTTGCAATAAAAGATCAACTGTGCATGAAGTCAATCATTGCCAGTCTTTGTTTCTCTCAGGAGTAAACAGCAAAGTAAAAATTAGAAAATTAGAAATACACATTAAAAAAACTGAGTTGGTGAGAGAGCTCCATAATTTATCTAACTAGCCTTATTGAGTGAAATAGCTAACAAATTTAAGAGCAGGAAAAATGTTGAGTTTTTTCCGCAAAAAAAATGTGTCTTCATCTCAAAAGCGTGCACATTTATCTATTTAAAGCTTTCTCACTCATTTAGCTCATGTTCTTAACTACTCAGCTCTAAATCGGCTCACTCATTCTCTACTATACTGCATAAATGAGTGAACACCTAAGTACCAAATTTAGTTTATCTAGATACATTTTCAAAAAAATATCTAAAGGTAATATCTTCTAACTAAACACTCATTAATCTATTATTCTCACTCCAACCACTTTATTCTCAATATATCTTGATACACTAGTAAACTCTCTGAAAAAAAACTTCGCACTCACTCTCTGAGCAGCACTCGTGCTGCTTGTGCATTGCAATTTGTTGTGGAGAAAAAATCAAGTGAACCCATAAAAAACTCGTCCAACCGGTAGGACTTGTGTCAATGCCTTCTATCGGCGACTGCATATTGCTGCACTGCACATCAATATTGCTCTATTGTTTTTGTTGCTGCTGCTGCTGCGGCTGTTGCTTGTTAAGGCATGCTTGATGATGTTTTCTTGTGATTTTCTAATTTCTTTGTTTTTTTTTCTTTCTTTGTAATTTTATTACTTTTTCTTGCCATTAGAATTGCTGGTATTTGAAGATCGCTCATTTCCGTTGAGCTCATGAGATGCGCTCGCGACGCGCTCAATTTTATTTGGAAAATTACTTTGCTCAAACATTTGACTACTCAGAGAGCGCTTTGCGGGCATTGTTCATTGCTAAAATAATAAAAATAATAATTTTGTTTATTGTTGTGGATTTACGTATAAATAACCAAGTCAGGGAATTTGTACAAAAAAAGTTTTGAAAATCTTGAATGGTTCTTCATGCTTTTCTGTTATACTCTCCTTTAAGAAATACAACATCAATAAATCCCATTAAAAAACTTCCTTGATACTAGATATTGAGCAGTGAATTCTCGAAAAGCTGCTCATGCCTTCAACCTTTGAAACCTCTCCTATTCAGTTTTCATTCAAATAAACCCAATCTGAAAGGATAAGGGCTCTCTAAAGTCAGAGCAAGTGGTATAATTATTTTTTTTTTTTTTTTGTCTTTTAAGACTTTAGAGATATTATCAAAATGTTTTATGCAACCCATGAGATTGTTGACACTTGTTGAACTAAAAACTACAAGACAATCGGGTCCGAGAAAACGTGATATTGCTCTACCGACTCCTAACTGCATATATCTTAGCAGTACAAAAGGAAGACAAATCAAAACACTAATGAGCAAACCTGATGGACCTTAAACTGGTCTAAAGAGTCATACGTTTTTAAGAAAATTTCATTTTTTTTTTTAAATTGCCTCTAAGTTCTGGTTGCAATCCTAAGAATGCCTCCAGTCTGCGTGTGTTCAGATGTTCGAAATGCCCAAGTAGCCTGCGTCTCAACCATCAACAACCCGAACATCATAAAAAATCGCTAGTAACACGATTAACTTTTGATTAACTCTCAAATTCTTGAAGAGCAAACAACAATAGAGCTCAAAACTGGTTTAAAACGCTTGAGCATTAGCTCAAAGTCAAAGCCAAAGACGTTCGTTGAAATTAATGTGAGCATTCGCTGGGTGGACAGTCGAGTATAGATGTAAACTATAGCGTGCAATAGTAAACCGAATAAGCGAACTATAAACATTGATCAACCACCAAAGGAGGGCATGAATACACGCTCACTAGCTCTGCAACTCTCTCTCTCTCGCTTTTCATAGCAAGACTGGTTAGTTCATACTACAGCGCTCTGTAGCTCCATTTCAAAGCAACTAGTCTACCTTATTGACTCCTGGGGTTGCTCTTGCTCTTGCTGCCTGCTGCCTGCTTGTACCTACTATCGAGATAGCGCGCCGGTATTGCTAGCCGCCATGAGCGCGCACTCAGCGCCATTTAGCAATGCATTTTGTTTGAATATTTCTCAGCCGCGCTCTGGCTACTCCAGCTAAGAATTTGGCCTTTACTTTTTAGTAGTTAATCGACTGCATGCACTTTGAGTAATCAGTTTGTGAGTAGAGTTCGTGACGATCGCATATTATTGCGTTGTATGTCGGATGAATTTTTAAGATCTAAATAAAAAAGTAACAATACAAATGCACATATATATATATGTGTGTGTACATATCTTAAGTTAAGTGCAGTCAAGGAAAAAATATAACAAAAGAAAGTATTAAAAAATTTTGAAGTGCAGTGTTGAACGCATATGCTCTACTCAAACCAATAAGAAGAAAAAGAAGAAATTTTTAAAAAACAAATTTGTGGAAAATCAGAAATTGACCAACTCAACGAATTTACTTAAACGCTTGCAAGTTCGTTTCGTACGCCACAGACACCACTTGGATTACGGGTTTCCGGTTGCGCGACACGCTGAACAAACAATTTATGTATAAATAAATCAAAAATAATTAAAGTTGAAAGCCAAAGGAAAAAGAAACAACAACAACAACAATAATGCAGAGAACAGTGCAAATTGTTGAAGTGGCACAAAATTAGTGCAAAAAAATTGAAAAAAAATATATTTATTTTTCACAAAATAAACGCATAATTTTGCCTAAAATGCGTAAATTAAAGAAATAACGTTTTTTAACAACGCAGCGGAAAATAAATCAGCAACACCTTGCAGAGTGTGCATTTTTTTTTGGTTAATGTGTGAATGTTTGTGTTTGTGCAATTGTGCAAGAAATCACAGAAAAATTAACGCACAGCCAAAATTAAAAAAAAAATTGAAATTCCAAAAAATACACGTTTAAAAATTCAAACCAATTGAAATTTTAACAAAAAAAAAAAAAAATCAACAACACAATGTCCACCAAAATGACACTCATCTCGAAAACAATACTCTCCGTCCTCATCACCGTCATCATACCCGTGCTCGGTGCGGCGCTTAGCAAAACGGTGCTCTATCAAGCGCCCGATGAGTGCCGCTGGTCCGGCACCAGCGAGACAGACATAACGCTCGTCTGCCACCTGCGCACGATCAACTCTGAGTTGGAGAACACCAACTTCAGCGTCATACAACCACAGAATACGATACGTCTGCGTCTGGAGTGCAATGATGCACTCTTCTTCCAGAGCAGTCTCAGTCCGGATTCTTTTCGTTCGCTCGTGGAGTTGCGCGCCCTCACCATTGAATATTGCAAATTGGGCAATATCACCGAGGGCTCATTTCGCGGTCTGCAGGATTTGCGTAATCTCACCATACGTACGCATAACGGCGATTGGTCCACAATGTCGCTGGATATAGCGAGCAGTAGTTTTAGCGAATTTCGTCAGCTGGATCGTTTAGATCTGAGCTTGAATAACATCTGGTTGATACCCGATGGCATGGTGTGTCCACTCAAAGTGTTAACTCACCTCAATATCTCACATAATGAGATACAGGATATTGGCAATTTCCATTTCAGCGCTGCGCTTAGCTCACGCAAATCTCGCATTTGCGGCTCATCGCTGACGCACATTGACCTGAGCGCGAATAAAATAGCAAATCTGCCATCGGCCATCTTTTCCGGCTTGGGTCGCTTGAACAATTTGAATTTGGCGCGTAATGGCATGAATTTCATAGCAGATCGTGCGTTTGAGGGTTTGGTCTCACTTGCCGTAGTTAATCTCTCCGGCAATCGTTTGACTTCGCTGCCACCAGAGCTCTTCGCGGAGGCGAAGTATGTGAAGGAGATCTATTTAAAGAATAACAGTATTAATGTGCTTGCGCCTGGTTTATTCAGTGATCTTGCCGATCTCTTGGTGTTGGATATGTCTGCGAATGAGCTGAACTCACAGTGGGTGAATGCAGCGACTTTTGTTGGCTTGAAACGTTTGGTGTTGCTTGATTTGTCAGCGAATAAGATTAGCAAACTTGAGGCGAGCATCTTCCGTTCACTTAGCTCCTTGCAGATACTAAAACTTGAGGAGAACTACATCGATCACGTACCAGATGGCGCATTCGCCGATCTAGCCAACTTACATACGCTCATATTGTCAAACAATCGCATCTCCACGCTTGGACCGCACACACTACGCGGTCTCTACGGCATACTTGTACTGAGTCTCGACTACAATCGCATCGCCAAGATAGACACGCAAGCTTTGCGCAATTGTTCCAGCATACAGGATTTGCATTTGAATGGCAATCAGCTGCAGACCATACCCGATGCGCTAAACGCTGTGCCACTGCTGAAGACACTCGACATTGGCGAGAATTTAATTAAGAACATTGAAAATACCAGCGTTTCGGCAATGGCCAACCTGTATGGTCTGCGTCTAACGGAGAATGCCATTGAGTTTATACGCCGCGGTGTGTTCGATCGCATGACATCACTGCAGATACTAAATTTGTCTGGCAATAAAATCAAAGGCATCGAAGCTGGCGCGCTGCATCGCAACACACAGCTGCAGGCCATACGTTTGGATGGTAATCACTTGAAGAGCATCGACGGCCTATTCACCGAATTACCAAATTTGGTGTGGCTTAACATTTCGGATAATCGCTTGGAGAAGTTCGACTACTCGCACATACCGACCGGTTTACAGTGGCTAGATGTGCGTGCCAACCGCATTACACAGCTGGGAAATTATTTCGAAATTGAAAATGAGCTAAGCTTGAGTACATTCGATGCGAGCTCAAATATGTTAAGTGAGATTACGGCCAGTTCGATACCGAATAGCGTGGAAGTTTTATACTTGAACGATAACATGATCAGCAAAATACAACCGTACACATTCTTCAAGAAACCCAATCTGACGCGCGTCGACCTCATACGCAATCGCCTTACAACGCTGGAGCCCAATGCGTTGCGCCTCTCGCCCATACCCGACGACAAGGACATACCCGAATTCTACATTGGCCACAATCCATTCCAGTGTGATTGCAATCTAGATTGGTTGCAGAAGGTCAACAGCGAGTCACGCACGCAACCGCAACTCATGGATCTTGATCAGATCTACTGTAAGTTGTCGTATGCGCGCGGCAAGACGCACGTGCCGCTAATAGAGGCTAAATCGAATGAGTTCCTCTGCAAATACGAGGCACACTGTTTCGCTTTGTGCCACTGCTGTGACTTTTACGCGTGCGATTGCAAAATGGAGTGTCCCGATCGTTGTGCCTGCTATCACGATCAATCGTGGACATCGAATGTCGTGGACTGCTCACGTTCCGCCTACGATCGCACACTGCCTTCGCATATACCCATGGATGCTACGCAATTGTATTTGGATGGCAACAACTTCCGTGAACTCTCCAGCCACGCATTTATTGGACGCAAGCGTCTAAAGGTTTTGCATTTGAATCATTCGCGTATTGAAATTGTGCAAAATCGCACTTTTTACGGTCTGCTAGAGCTAGAAGTGTTGCAGTTGAATCACAATAACTTGCGCCAACTGAATGGTAATGAATTCCAGGGTTTGGATAATCTGCAGGAGTTGTATTTGCAACATAACGCCATTGCGACCATCGATACGCTCACCTTCACACACCTCTACCATCTCAAAATATTGCGCCTTGACCACAACGCTATTACCGAGTTCGCCATTTGGAATTTCCTGCCGTCCTACTTGAATGAACTCCGCCTTGCAGGCAATCCTTGGTCTTGCCATTGTGACTTTATCGATAAATTGCGCGATTATGTCAATCGCCACGAGGCTGTACAGGATAAAGTGAAGTTACGTTGTTCCTTACTCGCCGGTAGCAATGCTACTACAGCGGACAACAACAATAGCGCGCAGCCACCAGCGAGCGAGCAATTGGCGATCTATCTCAGCGGCGATCCAGTGCTGGATGCACAGACCCATTTTGTGGCATGCAATGGTGGTTTGCAAGCGCCACAACACCAAACGCCATTAGGTGCTGGGGATCCCAATGATAATGTGATCATCAACGGCAACATGACCTCGACGAAAATGATACTCTCACAACCACCCATGCACGAATATGTGCCAATACTTGTCGCGATATTGACCAGCTTCGTCTTTGTGATCATCTGCACGCTGTTGGTGTTTATCTTCCGTCAAGAAATGCGCGTTTGGTGTCACTCACGCTTCGGTGTGCGACTCTTCTGCAATGCAAACCGTGATGTTGACAAGAATGAACGTGAGAAGCTCTTCGATGCCTTCATCTCGTACAGCTCCAAAGATGAAGCTTTTGTATGTGAAGATCTTGCGCCCATGTTGGAGCAGGGCGACACACGCTACAAACTCTGCCTACACCACCGCGATTTCCCAGTAGGCGGCTATATGGCCGACGCCATTGTGCAAGCTATCGATACCTCACGCCGCACCATCATGGTACTCTCCGAGAATTTCATCAAATCCGAGTGGTGCCGCTTTGAATTCAAATCAGCGCATCAATCAGTGCTCCGTGATCGTCGACGCCGTCTCATACTCATCGTGCTCGGCGAAGTGCCACAAAAAGATATCGATCCCGAATTACGTCTCTATTTGAAGACGAACACATATCTGCAATGGGGCGACAAATTGTTCTGGGAAAAACTGCGCTTCGCTCTACCCGACGTGCCGAACAATCAACGACGCATGCGCAACGCTGGCGGCGGTGTGGGCAGCTGTAGCGGTGTAGGTGTGCATATGCCCATCGCTCAACTGCCACCCACACATCATCACCATCCGCATCACATGCTCTCAGCTGGCGCCGGCGCAGGCGGTCCGGGCAGCAATATGGGTCCACCCAATACTCATCACATGCATCATATGCATCCGCAAGCCTCACTGCAACATCATCAGCTACAACATGCCAGCTTCCGTTCGCAAATGCATCACAACATCAACGGCAGCCGTCAGAATCACAATCGAAATAATTCAGCGGCTGCTGCGGCTGCCGCACAACAGCAGCAACAACATCAGCAAGCGGCCATGCTAATGGGTGCGCCCATGCAATGCGCCCAGCTGCCACTACCGCCTCAACAGTCACAACAATTGCTGCCGACAGCGTCAAGTGCGAGCGTGCAGCCAAGCAGTATACAACAGCAACAGTTGCCGCCACCACCGTGCCCCAGTCCGCGCAGTATTACAACGCAATCCTCGGCGGCGGGTGGCAGCTCACAGAGTTCCGGTCGGACAATGGGTGTGCACATCTGAGAGATGTTGCAGCTGGAGCAGCAGCTATAGTGCTAGCAATAGTATGTAACGTGTAAGTGTGTGAAGTGTATGCCAGTGTGAGAGTGTATTAAATAGCTGTTGGCGTGGCGGTGGGTGTATGGGAGGAAGAAGAGTGTGCGCAAAAAATTGCCTTGCGAAATTGGGCAGTGCTGAAGGCGACTGTGCGCTGTGTTTCACGTAGTGAAAGTGTCGCCGAGTGCCGTTAGCGAGCTTTCAAGCTTTCAAAGCTCAAATAGCTTAGTTTGCCCAATCCTCAATAGTTTTCTTATGATTTTATGTTGACTAACTTGTTATCAAGTGCAAAGATTAGTGACTCCCTTGCCTGTGTACCTTTATCTTCTGCACAATCATAGCTAAATCAGCTTCAACTCTGCTCTTTTGCATAAATATTTCGATTTTGTGCTTTCTTCTACTACTACTAACTTTATGTGCGCATTGGCATTAGCTTGTATGTATGTATGTATGTATGTACATAATATTTTAGCACAAATCTCCATATATCTATTATTTGTTTGTGCCTTCATTTATTGCCACATTTTTGCCTTTCACATTTTGAATTTTCCATTCAATAGCGGTTTGCCTAACATTTCCCAACAAATTCAGGTCAAGTAAATCTTTGTAGCAAAAGTAGCAAAACATCAAACATACAAATATACATTGAATGGTAGTATTTTTTTTTTTTTTTTTTTTTAGCAAAACAGAGGGGAAAAGCAAAGAAGGCTTGCTTGCATTACTTACATGAAAACTGCAGACACAGAAAAGATATTTGCCTAATCTCAGAAGTATTTTCTTCGATTTTTTAAACAAATAAAATAGAAACGAAACGAAGAAACGATCGTCAATAGTCGATATGCGATTTGGCATTGAACATTTGCTTCGTGCAACATGGCAATTGGCAATGTGTTACTGTTATTTCGGCGCATAGTGCAAGTTATTTTTTGGGTATTTTCTACTATTTTTTTTCTTTTACAATATTTAATTTTATATTTAGATATATTTTTGTATAACTTTTTTCATTCAATTTTTTATTATATTTATTTATTTTTTTTTTTATTTTTCTATTTTTTTTATTTTTTAAAATTTTTTTTTATTTCTTCGTTTAAGGTTTTTCAATTATTTATTTTTAAAATTTATTTAAAGGTATTTTTCGTGTTTTTTTAAATTTTTTTTTTTTTTTTGTGAAGTCTTAACTGTGTTGCTTGTCTGCGCTAGCTTGGCTTATTATTTTTTAAATTTTTTTTTTGGGGAAAGAAAATACGTTGAAATTGTCACGTTTAAAATGTCGATGATTTATGTATTTGTTCACTGACCAGCAGTTCTGTATTAAAAACTGAGACACTAATTGACATTTTTGAGTAATTAAAATATTCAATAATTTCTACAGATAATTAAATGAATTAAGAGTGATGACTTTAATTCTGAATTGGTTTTTTAAAGTATATATTTTTTTAATTCATTAATCACAAATTCTGTAATTTAAAACTAATTTCTAGCCTGATTAAATTCTCTTGAAGTCCTGAACAATAATTTATAAATTTTCCAATACTAAAGTAAAAAAAATAATTAATTATTTGCTAATTAGACACAGTTTGAATTTTTTACTTTAATCATTTTGAAATAAACCATTTTGATAATTTTTATTTATTACTCGCGGTTAATTAATTTTTTTCTATATTTTTAAATTTTATTTTTAATATATTTAAATTTTTTCGTTTACCAAACTTTTATAATTAATTTTTTGATTGCAAATTTTTTTTAATGAACAAATAAAAACTAGTCTGATTTGAGTTCAAAATCAGTTAATTTTTTAGTCAGAATCTATCGACAGTTTTTGCAATTTGTGGCTTTAAAGGTTCCTCCATACATAAAAGTTAGTAAAAATTTAATAATTAAATACTAAATATTAGACTGACAGCTAGAGCGCAATAGAATGCAGTCATTGAATACAGTTGGTTGACTTTGGTTGAAATTCTTGTTAAATTAAGTATGGAGTTAATTTTTTTTGTAAGAGTTTTATTTGTGAATATATAATTTTAAATTTTGAAAGACCATTCAAACACAATAAAAGATAAATTGGTGTGAATAATTTTATTTCTAAATTACAGTTAAATATAATTTAATTTTTTTTTAATTGCTTCACCCAATTGAAACATCCTGCTTTCCGTCTACCAGAAAAAAAAAAGAAATTGCCTTACAAAATTATTGACGCACATTTCTTACATTTCATTTACTAAACCAAAAAAGTGTAACAGTTGCATATGAAGAAAAAAAATATTCCAGCAAAAGAAACAGAAAAAATTGCAAGCAAATGAGCGAAAAATATTAAAAAAAACTCCGAAATTCACAACCGAAAACCGAAACGCATACAAAAATATGCATATATTTTGCAAGACAACAACAACAATAAAAGCAACAAGAAAGTCTTGCAAAGCAGCAACTAACCACATTAAAATTATGTTGGCCATGGCAATGCTGCTGCTGCTGCTGCCACCAAGCCAAGCCGCAAACAAGTTACAGTGCACAGACAAACCCCTGAACCCTGCACCAGCGATAGGTAATGCAATGATTGGGAATGTTGCTTATACATGCTGGTTGCTGCTGGCTGGTTGTGTTGTTCTTGTTGTTGTTGTTGTTTCGCTGATTACAATGCACGTTTTACATTGCAAAGCAGAGTGCTTTTTGTAGTAGCTCACTGCTATTGATGTTGCTGTTGCTTTTGTTGTTATTGTTGTTATTGTTACTGTTTTATATCAAGTTGCTTTTCTTGCTCACTGCCCATTATGAGTTTCCTGTGCGCCGTGGCGATACAGAAAATTGATGTTGCATGCAACAATCATAAAAATAGTTGTACAAAAAAAGCTAAGAGCGATAGGGAGGGAGAGAGAGAGGAAAAAAAGATAAAAACAAAAACAAAAACTTAACAGCAAAAGAAACTAAACAGAAAAGTTCAATGCAAAACTGTGACTAACGTAAAAAAGCGTAGAATAAGAAACAGTAGAAAAAGGCAAGAAAGCTAAGAAATTAAGTAGAGGCAAAAAGCAAAGTTGACCGTCGGAAAAGAGAAAAACCGAGAAAAAAATACAAAATACAGTCGAGCCAACAGACAACCACTTGGTCGGTTACAACAAAAAATGGCATAATAAAGTTAACAACAACAAAAAACGGTAACAAAACAAGCGAGCAGAAACACAGAAACAAAAAAGAAGAAATACAAACAGACAACAAACGTGATAAATTGCTGAATGTTGTAAAGGTAGACCAGTTAGTAGAGGCCAAACAGTAGGCGAGAGGTAAAGTAGGAATAAGAGATTGAAAAAAAAAACACGAACCAACGAACTGACGAACGAGCAGTCGCTTAGACTCTCAGCCAGCACGTCAATAAGCCGGCCAAGCCAGCTGCAGACAACCGATGACGTATCAAAAACTGCGCACAGAGTTGTTTCGGTCGTAAAGAAGTCAAGCCAAGTGGATCGCCAGACAGTGCCTGCACAGTACGGCGATCGATGGCGTCCCAGAGACAACACTGAGCTAAACCTATATATGTACATATGTATTGGCAGATCAGTCAATGCTGATGAGGTAGACGAAGAAGAAATTTGTAGAGAAACATGTTGAAGCAAAGAAACAGAGAAGCGAACAAAGGTTGTGAAGAAGGCGAAAGTAGGTGCTGCAGGGCAGCAGATGAACTGACAACAAATGGGAGAACAACGTCAACAGACAGGCAAGAAAACAATATAAATTGTATATAGCGAAGAATACAAAAGGCAAAAAAGTTAGAAATATATAAAAAAAAAATTGGGGTCTACAATAAAACGGCAGTCAGACGGAGTAAGCAAACCCGACAAAGCGACTAACTGACGATCGGCCAGCAAACGATCGATACGAATGTGTGACTGACATATATCGGTTATTGGCTCACTGACTCGTTTGTAGATTGTGCTGATGATGTGAATAGAATGAAATGCTATGCATGAAATGGCTGACTACCTGACTAAGGAAAAGGCTGACTGCCTGACGCTTTGACTACCTGACTGACTGTCCAACTCAGCGGCTGGCTGCCCGACTGACTGCGCTAAACACATTGACTCGCCGTTTGTAGGCAGTTTGTTTCTTCTGTTGTCTGATTATAATGTAATTTTATTTTATACCGTCTCTTTTACACTCCGCTTGTAGTGCGCTCAGCGTGTCGAGGCAACATGCATGCAACTGCGGTATGAAAAAACATGCAAGCGAAGCAACTGCAGGGCATTTGGCAAAAAATAAAATAAAATAAAATAAAATGAAGAAATAGCGAAAAAAGTTACAACTTGCAAAGTAATTTAGTTAAAAAGTAGCATGAGTCGAAAAAAAGTAAAAGAAAGAACTGGTATCAGCTGAAATTTAGTATAACAAGTAGTAGCGATGGCGGGCGATTGGAAAATTAAGATATTTTGGAAATATAGTTGATATTAGCTTTTAGTGAAAGCTCTCAAATTTTGTGCGAAAGCTTTTATAATTCATAAAAGTTTTTTCCACTGTACAAAATAACAGCTTTTGCCAACATTACCTGTTTTAGGTTCAATTGTTTTGTAAAAAAGCATAATCATGAAAGCTCAGACTTAAAAAAAAAAAGCTTTTTAAAACGAAAGTTATTAAATTTCATTTTATTAAAATTGTTTACAATCTTGATTACTTTAAATACTTAAATAAAACAACACTAAGCTTTAGCAGCTTTAAAGCTCCGCCATAAACCGCAACATTCCATATTTTTTTGGGCACTTTTTCACATTACAATTCGCACACTCACCTCCTCAACCCGCCAACAGTGTTATAAATAAATGCATTTATTGTAACTAAATAGTTAACTAATTTAATTAATGAATACTATTATTATTTTTTATTATAAATTAGTATATAGCAACAAAAACATTGTGATATGTATGTAAAAAAATAAAAAATCATTAAACTTATGTATATTTAAATTATATATGTATTAAATTAGGCAAGCAAAGAAACTATATTACTATTAGTTTGTAAGAAGAAAAAAATAAAAAATATTAGCTTTTAAGCGAACCAAGATACTACGTCCTACAATTTAATTTATGTTTATGAATTTTAAAGAGAAAAATGATTTTAAAAATATACTAAAACAATTTAAAAGCACAAGAAAAAACACAAGCGTCAAAAGCAATAAAAGTAAAGCAGAACATTTTATAACAAAAAGTCATTAAAAATATTGTAAATAATTGAAGTAATCGAGCGCTGAAAAAATATATTTATGAATATGGCAAAAATAAATACACAATTATATTTTAAATATTTCTTTCCAACTTCTTCACCTTTTCTATACTCGATATATATGAGCGTACTTAAAAGGGCGTAAGCTTTTCCTGTCTGTGAAAGCTTTCCATGTCAGTGAAAGTTTTCCATACAAACGAAAGCTCACGCAGAATTTCATATTTGAAACTGCTAAATGTTAAAGGCCATATTACATATACATCTAATAAAATAGAAATGATTTAAAGGAATAATAGACTGTGAAGCAGCGAAATAAGGAGTAAACAGGTTAACACAATGAAAAACATGTTAAAGCAGACAATAAACATTTTTTTGTGTATCTAAATAATTCTTAGTAAAGAAAAAAATTTGTTTTTGTATGTGACAACTGATTATAAAAAAAAAATCCATAAAAGTTTTCCGATGAAAAAAAACGAAAATCCGCCGAAAAGAA